TATAACTATCACTATAACTCCTACCACTATAACTACCACTATAACTATCACTATAACTATCACTATAACTCCTACCACTATAACTACCACTATAACTATCACTATAACTCCTACCACTAACTACCACAAACTACTACAAACTACTACCACTATAACAACTACCACTAACTACCTACAACTACCACTATAACTACTACCAACTACCACAAACTACCACAAACTACCACTACAACTACCACTATAACTACCACCAACTACCACTACAACTACCACAAACTACTACAAACTACTACCACTATAACAACTACCACTAACTACCACTATAACTACCACTAAAACTACTACAAACTACTACCACTATAACAACTACCACTAACTACCTACAACTACCACTATAACTACCACTATAACTACCTACAACTCCAACTACCACAAACTACTACAAACTACTACCACTATAACTACCTACAACTACCTATAACTACCACTACAACTACTACAAACTACTACCACTATAACTACCTACAACTACCACAAACTACTACCACTAACTACCACTATAACTACCACTATAACTACCACAAACTACCACTAAAACTACCACCTCACCACCCACCTCACCCACCACCTCACCCACCCCTCACCCACCACCTCACCCACCACCACCACCTCACCCACCACCCCACCCACCACCCCACCCACCACCTCACCCACCACCTCACTCACCACCTCACCCACCACCACCACCTCACCCACCACCCCACCCACCACCTCACTCACCACCTCACCCACCACCACCTCACCCACCACCACCACCTCACCCACCACCCCACCCACCACCCCACCCACCACCCCACCCACCACCTCACTCACCACCTCACCCACCACCACCACCTCACCCACCACCCCACCCACCACCCCACCCACCACCCCACCCACCACCTCCCCCACCACCTCACCCACCACCACCACCTCACCCACACCACCACCTCACCCACCACCCCACCCACCACCTCACCCACCACCTCACCCACCACCTCACTCACCACCACCTCACCCACCTCACTCACCTCACCCACCCCACCCCTTACATGGCTCTCAACACGACCATCAACCTCCCCTCCGTCTCTGCCCTCCTCCTCCCTCGCCCTCACCCCTCGCCCTCCCCCCCCCAGGTCCGTTCCGTGTGAACCGCGTCCCCCTACGCCGTGCCCATCAGAAGTTTGTGATCGCCACGAGCACCCGCGTGGACTTGTCCTCGCTGGCGCTGCCTCGCCACCTCACGGACGCCTACTTCAAGAAGAAGCGCCTGCACAGGCCCAAGCATCAGGAGGGCGAGATCTTCGACACGAAGAAGGAGGTGCGGATGAGGCGGCGGGGGCGGCGGCGGCAGCGCCGTCGCCGCCGCCGCCCTTCTACCGCCTCCCACTCTCTCTCTCTCTCTCTCTCCCGCCCACCGGCTCGCCCGCCCGCCCACCATCTCGCCCGCCCACCCACCATCTCGCCCGCCCGCCCACCGTCTCAACCACCATCTCACCCGCCATCACGTTTACCATCTCACCCACCACATTCACCATCTCACCCACCACATTGACCATCTCGCCCGCCCACCCACCATCTCATTCACCATCTCACCCACCATCTCACCCACCATCCCACCCACCATCACATTCACCATCTCACCCATCACATTCACCATCCCACCCACCATCACATTCACCATCTCACCCACCACATTCACCATCTCACCCACCATCACATTCACCATCTCACCCACCATCACGTTTACCATCTCACCCACCATCACATTCACCATCTCACCCACCACATTCACCATCTCACCCACCACCACATTCACCATCCCGCCCACCATCACATTCACCATCTCACCCACCATCACATTCACCATCTCACCCACCATCACATTCACCATCTCACCCACCATCACATTCACCATCTCACCCACCATCACATTCACCATCTCACCCACCATCACATTCACCATCTCACCCACCATCACATTCACCATCTCACCCACCATCACATTCACCATCTCACCCACCATCACATTCACCATCTCACCCACCATCACGTTTACCATCTCACCCACCATCACATTCACCATCTCACCCACCATCACATTCACCATCTCACCCACCATCACATTCACCATCTCACCCACCATCTCATTCACCATCCCACCCACCATCACATTCACCATCTCACCCACCATCACATTCACCATCTCACCCGCCCACCCACCATCTCACCCACCATCACATTCACCATCTCACCCACCATCACATTCACCATCTCACCCACCATCACATTCACCATCTCACCCACCATCACGTTTACCATCTCACCCACCATCACATTCACCATCTCACCCACCATCACATTCACCATCTCACCCACCATCACGTTTACCATCTCACCCACCATCACATTCACCATCTCACCCACCATCACATTCACCATCTCACCCACCATCACATTCACCATCTCACCCACCATCACATTCACCATCTCACCCACCATCACATTCACCGTCTCACCCACCATCACATTCACCATCTCACCCACCATCTCATTCACCATCTCACCCACCATCACATTCACCATCTCACCCATCACATTCACCATCTCACCCACCATCTCATTCACCATCTCACCCACCATCTCATTCACCATCTCACCCACCATCTCATTCACCATCTCACCCACCATCACATTCACCATCTCACCCACCATCACGTTTACCATCTCACCCACCATCACATTCACCATCTCACCCACCATCACATTCACCATCTCACCCACCATCACATTCACCATCTCACCCACCATCACATTCACCATCTCGCCCACCATCTCAACCACCATTCCACCCGCCATCACATTCACCATCTCACCCACCATCTCATTCACCATCTCACCCACCATCTCATTCACCATCTCACCCACCATCTCATTCACCATCTCGCCCACCATCACATTCACCATCTCGCCCACCATCACATTCACCATCTCACCCACCATCTCATTCACCATCTCACCCACCATCTCACCCACCATCACATTCACCATCTCACCCACCACATTCACCATCTCACCCACCACCACATTCACCATCTCACCCACCACATTCACCATCTCACCCACCATCTCACCCACCACATTCACCATCTCGCCCGCCCACCCACCATCTCACCCACCATCCCACCCACCATCTCATTCACCATCTCACCCACCATCACATTCACCATCTCACCCACCATCTCATTCACCATCTCACCCACCATCACATTCACCATCTCACCCACCACCACATTCACCATCTCACCCACCATCACATTCACCATCTCACCCACCACCACATTCACCATCTCACCCACCATCACATTCACCATCTCACCCACCATCTCACCCACCATCTCATTCACCATCTCACCCACCATCACATTCACCATCTCACCCACCATCACATTCACCATCTCACCCACCATCACATTCACCATCCCACCCACCATCACATTCACCATCTCACCCACCATCACATTCACCATCTCACCCACCATCACATTCACCATCTCACCCACCATCACATTCACCATCTCACCCACCATCACATTCACCATCTCACCCACCATCACATTCACCATCTCACCCACCACCACATTCACCATCTCACCCACCACCACATTCACCATCTCACCCACCATCACATTCACCATCTCACCCACCATCACATTCACCATCTCACCCACCATCACATTCACCATCTCACCCACCATCACATTCACCATCTCACCCACCATCACATTCACCATCTCACCCACCATCACATTCACCATCTCACCCACCATCACATTCACCATCTCACCCACCATCACATTCACCATCTCACCCACCATCTCACTCGCCCACCATCTCACCCGCCCACCATCTCACCCGCCCACCATCTCACCCGCCCACCATCTCACCCGCCCACCCACCATCTCACCCGCCCACCCACCATCGCACCCGCCCACCCACCATCTCACCCGCCCCACCATCTCGCCCGCCCGCCCCACCATCCCACCCGCCCACCATCTCGCCCGCCCACCCACCCACCATCTCACACCCGCCCACCCTCTCGCCCACCCACCCACCATCTCACACCCGCCCACCCTCTCTCTCCCCCCCCCACTAGAAGTACGAGCTGTCGGAGCAGCGCAAGCAGGACCAGAAGCTGGTGGACGGCCTCCTGCTGCCCCAGCTGAAGGCGGTGCCGCAGCTGCGCGGGTACCTGAGGGCCCGTTTCTCCCTCGGCTCGGGCGTCTACCCCCACAAGCTCGTCTTCTGAGTGTGTGGCAGGGCGCCTTGCCCCCCCCCCCCCTCCGGCTAGCGTGAGGGGGGGCGTCTGGCTAACCACGGTGGGGGGGGGGTCTACTCTGGCTTAGCCTGGGGGGGGGGGTGGGTGGGGGGGGCGGCTCTCTCGTTAGCCTGGGGATTTCGTCTTGGAAATAAAGGCACAAATGCAAGGGATGGCGTGCGGGTGTGTGGATTCGCCGTGGGTTGGCAAGAGCGCGGTGGAATTGTGTGGGCGGGGGGGGGTGGTGTGTGTGTGTGTGGGTGAGTGGTGAGTGTGTGTGGGTGGTGAGTGAGTGTGGGTGGTGAGTGAGTGTGTGTGGGTGAGGGGTGTGTGTGTGGGTGGTGAGTGAGTGTGTGGGTGAGTGGTGAGTGTGTGTGGGTGAGTGAGTGTGTGGGTGAGGGGTGAGAGTGGGTGGTGAGAGTGTGTGGGGTGAGTGTGTGGGTGAGTAAGTGGGTGAGTGGTGAGTGTGTGGGTGAGGGGTGAGAGTGGGTGGTGAGTGAGTGTGAGTGTGTGGTGTGGGTGAGTGGTGAGTGTGTGGGTAAGGGGTGAGAGTGGGTGGCTGTGGGTGAAAGTGGGTGGTGAGGGATGGGCTGTGGGTGAGTGGATTGTTGAGTGGCTGGGTGAGTGGAGTGGCTGGGTGAGGGGATTGGTGAGTGGCTGTGTGAGAGTGGGTGAATGGATCAATGGTGAGTGGGGTTGGTGAGTGGAGTGGCTGTGTGAGAGTGGGTGAGTGGATCAATGGTGAGTGGGGTTGGTGTGTGAGTGGATCGTTGGTGAGTGGAGTGGCTGTGTGAGTGGATCAATGGTGAGTGGGGTTGGTGAGTGGAGTGGCTGTGTGAGAGTGGATCCATGGTGAGTGGGGTTGGTGAGTGGATCAATGGCGAGTGGGGTTGGTGAGTGGAGTGGCTGTGAGAGTGGGTGAGTGGATCAATGGTGAGTGGAGTGGCTGTGAGAGTGGATCAATGGTGAGTGGAGTGGCTGAGTGTAAGTGGGTGAGTGGATCAATGGTGAGTGGGGTTGGTGAGTGGAGTGGCTGTGTGAGAGTGGATCAATGGTGAGTGGGGTTGGTGTGTGAGTGGGTGAGTGGATCGATGGTGAGTGGAGTGGCTGTGTGAGTGGATCAATGGTGAGTGGGGTTGGTGTGTGAGAGTTGGGTGAGTGGATCAATGGTGAGTGGGGTTGGTGTGTGAGAGTGGGTGAGTGGATCAATGGTGAGTGGGGTTGGTGTGAGAGTGGGTGAGTGGATCAATGGTGAGTGGGGTGGCTGGGTGAGAGTGGGTGGATGACACGGGCTGGAGGAGAGATTTATGCTGCACATGAATGGGTGGAGCTGAGTGGACTTGCCAACTGGGCAGTGCCAGGCTAGGTGCACGTTGAGGCGACTGGGCAGTTGGAGGCAGTCGCCTTCCAGCAATGTGACATCGTGCACCTACCCTGGCACCTGAGTGTCCCGCGACCACCTCCTGCACCTAGCCTGGCACAGCAGTCAACCCATGACAACCTCCTCTTGTGTATAGCGTGGTAGTTGTGTCATAGTGTTGTGTATAATAGTGTAGTGTATAGTAGGGACAGAAAATCAAGTTCAAAAGCGGGCTGGAGGAGTTTATTCATCACCAACAACATCACTGGGGCCATTAAAATAGGGACTACTTTGTGAAGACTGCCAACACTGGTTACTGAAACACCGTGGAATTGCCTGCCAGAGTAATGTGACTGCACCTAGCCTGGCACAGCAGCAGTATAACCCATGGCACCTGCTGGGTCTGTCACGTGACCTCCACCTCCTGCACCTAGCCTGGCACAACAGTCAACCCATGGCACCTGCTGGGTCTGTGTTGTGACCTGCACCTAGCCTGGCACAGCAGTACAACCCATGGCACCTGCAATGTCTGTCACGTGACCACCTGCACCTAGCCTGGCACAGCAGTCAACCCATGGCACCTGCAGGGTCTGTCATGTGACCTGCACCTAGCCTGGCACAGCAGTCAACCCCATGACACCTGCTGGGTCTGTCACGTGACCTGCACCTAGCCTGGCACAGCAGTCAACCTATGGCACCTGCTGGGTCTGTCATGTGACCTGCACCTAGCCTGGCACGAGCGTCCACGTGGGCTTCATCCTTCACAGAGTCCTCCTAGTCTCAGCTTCTTCCTGTTGGGAGAGGGGGGGGAGTGAGATTATCACTCATCCACCTACACACTCACCCACTCACCCACTCACCTACTCACCCACTCACTCACCTACTCACCTACTTACCCACTTACCCAGCCACTCAGCCACCTACTCATCCACCCACTAACCCACTCACCCACCTACTCACCCACTCACTCACCTACTCACCCACATCACCCACTCACCCACCCACTAACCCACTCACCCACCTACACACCCACTCACCTACTCACCCACTTACCCAGCCACTCAGCCACCTACTCGCCCAGCCACTTACCCACCTACTCACCCACGTACTCACCCACTCACTCACCTACTCACCCACTCATCCACCTACTCAACCACTCACCCACCCACCCACCTACTCACCCACTCGCCCAGCCACTCGCCCACCTAATCACCCACTCACCCACCTAATCACCCAACCACCTACTAACCCACCTAATCACCCACTCGCCCACCTAATCACCCACTCACCCCCCCCATCACTCTCCCACCTACTAACCCACTCACCCCTCACCCAGCCACTCACCCAGCCACTCACCCACCTACTCAGCCACTCACCCACCACCCCCCCACCCACCACCACCCCCCACCTTCAGCAGCTGCTTGAGCTCTGTGAGCGCTGTGCGGAGTCTGGGCACGAGGTGGTGCAGGCGAGAGGCCTCCAGGGTGTGGCAGTGCAGGGAGCTGCACCCAGCACCCACTCGCATCCTCACAAAGCCCGGCACCTGGCGGGGGGGGGGACGGGAGTGGGGGGCACGGGGGGGGGGGGGCACGGGGGGGGCACGGGAGTGGGGGGCACGGGGGGGGCACGGGGAGGGGCATTGTGAGACAGCAGCAGGTTGTAGACAAGACCCAGAGCCACCACCCCCACTCACCACCCCCCTCACCCCCCTCACCACCCTCACCACCCACTCACTCACCACCCCCACTCACCACCCCCACTCACCTCCTCACCTGTGGTGACGTCACCAGGGTGTACACCACCCCCACTCACCACCCCCACTCACCACCCCCACTCACCACCCCCACTCACCACCCCCACTCACCACCCCCACTCACCACCCCCACTCACCACCCCCCACTCACCACCCCCACTCACCACCCCCACTCACCACCCCCACTCACCACCCCCACTCACCACCCCCCACTCACCACCCCCACTCACCACCCCCACTCACCACCCCCACTCACCACCCCCACTCACCACCCCCACTCACCACCCCCACTCACCACCCCCACTCACCACCCCCACTCACCACCCCCACTCACCACCCCCACTCACCACCCCCACTCACCACCCCCACTCACCACCCACACTCACCACCCCCACTCACCACCCCCACTCACCACCCCCACTCACCACCCCCACTCACCACCCCCACTCACCACCCCCACTCACCACCCCCACTCACCACCCCCACTCACCACCCCCACTCACCACCCCCACTCACCACCCCCACTCACCACCCCCACTCACCACCCCCACTCACCACCCCCACTCACCACCCCCACTCACCACCCCCACTCACCACCCCCACTCACCACCCCCACTCACCACCCCCACTCACCACCCACACTCACACCCCCACTCACCACCCACACTCACCACCCACACTCACCACCCCCACTCACCACCCCCACTCACCACCCCCACTCACCACCCCCACTCACCACCCCCACTCACCACCCCCCACTCACCACCCCCACTCACCACCCCCACTCACCACCCACACTCACCACCCCCACTCACCACCCCCACTCACCACCCCCCACTCACCACCCCCACTCACCACCCCCACTCACCACCCACACTCACCACCCCCACTCACCACCCCCACTCACCACCCCCACTCACCACCCCCACTCACCCACCCCCCACTCACCACCCCCACTCACCACCCCCACTCACCACCCCCACTCACCACCCCACTCACCACCCCCACTCACCACCCACACTCACCACCCCCACTCACCACCCACACTCACCACCCACACTCACCACCCCCACTCACCACCCCCACTCACCACCCCCACTCACCACCCCCACTCACCACCCCCACTCACCACCCCCACTCACCACCCCCACTCACCACCCACACTCACCACCCCCACTCACCACCCCCACTCACCACCCCCACTCACCACCCCCACTCACCACCCCCACTCACCACCCACACTCACCACCCCCACTCACCACCCCCCACTCACCACCACCACCCCCCCCACTCACCACCCCCTCACCACCCCCACTCACCACCCCCACTCACCACCCCCACTCACCACCCCCACTCACCACCCCCACTCACCACCCCCACTCACCACCCACACTCACCACCCACACTCACCACCCCCACTCACCACCCCCACTCACCACCCCCACTCACCACCCCCACTCACCACCCCCACTCACCACCCCCACTCACCACCCCCACTCACCACCCCCACTCACCACCCACACTCACCACCCCCACTCACCACCCCCACTCACCACCCCCACTCACCACCCCCACTCACCACCCCCACTCACCACCCCCATCACCACCCCCACTCACCACCCCCACTCACCACCCCCACTCACCACCCCCACTCACCATCCACACTCACCACCCCCACTCACCACCCACACTCACCACCCCCACTCACCACCCCCACTCACCACCCCCACTCACCACCCCCACTCACCACCCCACTCACCACCCCCACTCACCACCCCCACTCACCACCCACACTCACCACCCCCACTCACCACCCCCACTCACCACCCCCACTCACCACCCCCACTCACCACCCCCACTCACCACCCCCACTCACCACCCCACTCACCACCCACACTCACCACCCCCACTCACCACCCCCACTCACCACCCCCACTCACCACCCCCACTCACCACCCCCACTCACCACCCCCACTCACCACCCCACTCCCACCCCACTCACCACCCCCACTCACCACCCCCACTCACCACCCCCACTCACCACCCCCACTCACCACCCCCACTCACCACCCCCACTCACCACCCCCACTCACCACCCCCACTCACCACCCCACTCACCACCCCCACTCACCACCCACACACACCACCCCCACTCACCACCCACACTCACCACCCCCACTCACCACCCCCACTCACCACCCCCACTCACCACCCCCACTCACCACCCCCACTCACCACCCCCACTCACCACCCACACTCACCACCCCCACTCACCACCCCCACTCACCACCCACACTCACCACCCACACTCACCACCCCCACTCACCACCCCCACTCACCACCCCCACTCACCACCCCCACTCACCACCCCCACTCACCACCCCCACTCACCACCCCCACTCACCACCCCCACTCACCACCCCACTCACCACCCCCCACTCACCACCCCCCACTCACCACCACCACCCCCCCCCACTCACTACCCCCCTCACCACCCCCACTCACCACCCCCACTCACCACCCCCACTCACCACCCCCACTCACCACCCACACTCACCACCCCCACTCACCACCCCACTCACCACCCCACTCACCACCCACACTCTCCACCCACACTCACCACCTCCTCACCTGTGATGACGTCACCACCCCCTCACCTGTGATGACGTCACCACCTCCTCACCTGTGATGACGTCACCAGGGTGTAGGCCAGCCCCCCACTCACCACCTCCTCACCTGTGATGACGTCACCAGGGTGTAGGCCAGCCCCCCACTCACCACCTCCTCACCTGTGATGACGTCACCACCTCCTCACCTGTGATGACGTCACCAGGGTGCACGCCAGCCCCCCACTCACCACCTCCTCACCTGTGATGACGTCACCACCCCCTCACCTGTGATGACGTCACCAGGGTGTACGCCACCCCCACTCACCACCCCACTCACCACCCCACTCACCACCCACACTCACCACCCCCACTCACCACCTCCTCACCTGTGATGACGTCACCACCTCCTCACCTGTGATGACGTCACCACCTCCTCACCTGTGATGACGTCACCAGGGTGTAGGCCAGCCCCACCGCTCCGGCCCGCGCCGTGCGCCCCACCCTGCGAGGTTTGGACAGGGAGAGGCAAAGCGGCCGTCACACCCCCAGGTAGCTCACAACGCACAGGGGGGCAAGGGGAATGAGGTGGGTGAAAGTGAATGAGGTGGGTGAGAGGGAATGAGGTGGGTGAGAGGGAATGAGGTGGGTGAGAGTGAATGAGGTGAGTGAATGAGGTGGGTGAGAGTGAATGAAATGGGGGATTGAAGTAGGTGAGAGTGAATGAGGTGGGTGAATGAGGTGGGTGAGAGTGAATGAGGTGGGTGAGAGTGAATGAGGTGGGTGAGAGTGAATGAGGTGGGTGAGAGTGAATGAAATGGGGGATTGAAGTAGGTGAGTGAATGAGGTGGGTGAGAGTGAATGAGGTGGGTGAGAGTGAATGAGGTGGGTGAGAGTGAATGAGGTGGGTGAGAGTGAATGAAATGGGGGATTGAAGTAGGTGAGTGAATGAGGTGGGTTAGAGTGAATGAGGTGGGTTAGAGTAAATGAGGTGGGTGAGAGTGAATGAGGTGGGTGAGAGTGAATGAGGTGGGTGAGAGTGAATGAAGTGGGTGAGAGGGAATGAAGTAGGTGAGAGTGAATGAGGTGGGTGAGAGGGAATGAGGTGGGTGAGAGGGAATGAGGTGGGTGAGAGGGAATGAGGTGGGTGAGAGGGAATGAGGTGGGTGAGAGTGAATGAGGTGAGTGAATGAGGTGGGTGAGAGTGAATGAAATGGGGGATTGAAGTAGGTGAGAGTGAATGAGGTGGGTGAATGAGGTGGGTGAGAGTGAATGAGGTGGGTGAGAGTGAATGAAATGGGGGATTGAAGTAGGTGAGAGTGAATGAGGTGGGTGAGAGTGAATGAGGTGGGTGAGAGTGAATGAGGTGGGTGAGAGTGAATGAAGTAGGTGAGTGAATGAGGTGGGTGAGAGTGAATGAGGTGGGTGAGAGTGAATGAGGTGGGTGAGAGTGAATGAGGTGGGTGAGAGTGAATGAAATGGGGGATTGAAGTAGGTGAGTGAATGAGGTGGGTTAGAGTGAATGAGGTGGGTTAGAGTGAATGAGGTGGGTGAGAGTGAATGAGGTGGGTGAGAGTGAATGAGGTGTGTGAGAGTGAATGAAGTAGGTGAGAGTGAATGAGGTGGGTGAGAGTGAATGAGGTGGGTGAGAGTGAATGAAGTGGGTGAGAGTGAATGAAGTAGGTGAGAGTGAATGAGGTGGGTGAGAGTGAATGAAGTAGGTGAGAGTGAATGAGGTGGGTGAGAGTGAATGAAATGGGGGATTGAAGTAGGTGAGAGTGAATGAGGTGGGTGAATGAGGTGGGTGAATGAGGTGGGTGAGAGTGAATGAAATGGGGGATTGAAGTAGGTGAGAGTGAATGAGGTGGGTGAGAGTGAATGAGGTGGGTGAGAGTGAATGAAATGGGGGATTGAAGTAGGTGAGAGTGAATGAGGTGGGTGAGAGTGAATGAAGTAGGTGAGATTGAATGAAATGGGTGAGAGTGAATGAGGTGGGTGAGAGTGAATGAGGTGGGTGAGAGTGAATGACGTAGGTGAGAGTGAATGAAGTGGGTGAGAGTGAATGAAGTAGGTGAGAGTGAATGAGGTGGGTGAGAGTGAATGAAGTAGGTGAGAGTGAATGAGGTGTGTGAGAGTGAATGAGGTGGGTGAGAGTGAATGAAGTAGGTGAGAGTGAATGAGGTGGGTGAGAGTGAATGAAGTAGGTGAGAGTGAATGAGGTGTGTGAGAGTGAATGAGGTGTGTGAGAGTGAATGAGGTGGGTGAGAGTGAATGAGGTGTGTGAGAGTGAATGAGGTGTGTGAGAGTGAATGAGGTGTGTGAGAGTGAATGAGGTGGGTGAGAGTGAATGAAGTAGGTGAGAGTGAATGAGGTGGGTGAGAGTGAATGAGGTGGGTGAGAGGGAATGAGGTGGGTGAGAGGGAATGAGGTGGGTGAGAGTGAATGAGGTGAGTGAATGAGGTGGGTGAGAGTGAATGAAATGGGGGATTGAAGTAGGTGAGAGTGAATGAGGTGGGTGAATGAGGTGGGTGAGAGTGAATGAGGTGGGTGAGAGTGAATGAAATGGGGGATTGAAGTAGGTGAGAGTGAATGAGGTGGGTGAGAGTGAATGAGGTGGGTGAGAGTGAATGAGGTGGGTGAGAGTGAATGAGGTGGGTGAGAGTGAATGAAATGGGGGATTGAAGTAGGTGAGTGAATGAGGTGGGTGAGAGTGAATGAGGTGGGTGAGAGTGAATGAGGTGGGTGAGAGTGAATGAGGTGGGTGAGAGTGAATGAAATGGGGGATTGAAGTAGGTGAGTGAATGAGGTGGGTTAGAGTGAATGAAGTTGGTGAGAGTGAATGAGGTGGGTGAGAGTGAATGAGGTGGGTGAGAGTGAATGAGGTGTGTGAGAGTGAATGAAGTAGGTGAGAGTGAATGAGGTGGGTGAGAGTGAATGAGGTGGGTGAGAGTGAATGAAGTGGGTGAGAGTGAATGAAGTAGGTGAGAGTGAATGAGGTGTGTGAGAGTGAATGAAGTGGGTGAGAGTGAATGAGGTGGGTGAGAGTGAATGAAATGGGGGATTGAAGTAGGTGAGAGTGAATGAGGTGGGTGAATGAGGTGGGTGAATGAGGTGGGTGAGAGTGAATGAAATGGGGGATTGAAGTAGGTGAGAGTGAATGAGGTGGGTGAGAGTGAATGAGGTGGGTGAGAGTGAATGAAATGGGGGATTGAAGTAGGTGAGAGTGAATGAGGTGGGTGAGAGTGAATGAAGTAGGTGAGAGTGAATGAAGTAGGTGAGAGTGAATGAGGTGGGTGAGAGTGAATGAGGTGGGTGAGAGTGAATGAGGTGGGTGAGAGTGAATGAAGTGGGTGAGAGTGAATGAAGTAGGTGAGAGTGAATGAGGTGGGTGAGAGTGAATGAAGTAGGTGAGAGTGAATGAGGTGTGTGAGAGTGAATGAGGTGGGTGAGAGTGAATGAAGTAGGTGAGAGTGAATGAGGTGGGTGAGAGTGAATGAAGTAGGTGAGAGTGAATGAGGTGTGTGTGAGAGTGAATGAGGTGTGTGAGAGTGAATGAGGTGGGTGAGAGTGAATGAGGTGTGTGAGAGTGAATGAGGTGTGTGAGAGTGAATGAGGTGTGTGAGAGTGAATGAGGTGGGTGAGAGTGAATGAAGTAGGTGAGAGTGAATGAGGTGGGTGAGAGTGAATGAGGTGGGTGAGAGTGAATAAGGTGGGTGAGAGTGAATGAAGTAGGTGAGACTGAATGAAGTAGGTGAGAGTGAATGAGGTGGGTGAGAGTGAATGAGGTGGGTGAGAGTGAATGAGGTGTGTGAGAGTGAATGAAGTAGGTGAGAGTGAATGAGGTGTGTGAGAGTGAATGAAGTAGGTGAGAGTGAATGAGGTGGGTGAGAGTGAATGAGGTGGGTGAGATTAATGAATGAAATGGGTGAGAGTGAATGAGGTGGGTGAGAGTGAATGAAGTAGGTGAGAGTGAATGAAGTAGGTGAGAGTGAATGAAGTAGGTGAGAGTGAATGAGGTGGGTGAGAGTGAATGAGGTGGGTGAGAGTGAATGAGGTGTGTGAGAGTGAATGAAGTAGGTGAGAGTGAATGAAATGGGGGAATGAAGTAGGTGAGAGTGAATGAGGTGGGTGAGAGTGAATGAGGTGGGTGAGAGTGAATGAAGTAGGTGGAAGTGAATGAAACGAGGGGGAATGAAACGTACCGATGGACGTAGTTGTGAATGAAGTCTGGGCAGTCGTAGCTGAGGACACAGGTGACGGAGTGAACATCGATCCCACGGGCAGCAGCATCAGAGCTCACCAGCCTGTTGAGTACCATCATCACCATCATCATCAACATCATCATCAACATCATCAACATCACCATCATCAACATCATCATCAACATCATCACCACCTTCAACATCATCATCAACATCATCATCATCATCAACATCACCATCAACATCATCATCATCATCGTCATCATCGTCATCATCATCATCAACATCATCAACAACATCATCAACATAACAATCATCATCACCATCATCAACATCATCATCATCAACATCATCATCATCAACATAACAATCATCATCATCAACATCACCATCAACATTAACATCATCACCATCAACATCATCATCAACATCACCATCATCACCATCATCATCATCAACATCATCATCATCACCATCAACATCATCATCATCAACATCATCATCATCACCATCAACATCAACATCACCATCATCATCATCAACATCACCATCATCAACATAACAATCATCATCATCAACATCACCATCATCAACATCAACATCACCACCATCATCATCATCATCACCATCATCACCATCATCATCAACATAACAATCATCATCATCATCACCATCATCATCAACATAACAATCATCACCATCATCATCACCATCATCATCAACATCACCATCATCAACATCATCATCATCAACATCATCAACATCACCATCATCAACATCATCAACATCACCATCAACATCACCATCATCATCACTATCATCAACATCACCATCATCATCACCATCATCATCACCATCATCATCACCATCATCACCATCAACATCATCACCATCAACATCATCACCATCATCACCATCATCAACATCATCACCATCATCATCATCAACATCACCATCATCATCACCATCACCATCATAACAATCATCAACATCATCACCATCACCATCATCAACATAACAATCATCATCAACATCATCATCATCATCACCATCATCAACATCATCACCATCAACATCAACATCACCATCAACATCATCATCAACATCATCACCATCAACATCAACACCATCATCAACATCATCAACATAACAATCATCATCAACATCAACATCACCATCAACATCATCATCATCATCGTCATCATCATCAACATCATCATCATCATCATCACCATCAACATCATCACCATCACCATCATCAACATCATCATCATCAACATCATCATCGTCATCATCATCAACATCACCATCATCACCATCAACATCATCATCACCATCATCATCAACATCACCATCATCATCATCAACATCACCATCATCATCAACATCATCAACATCACCATCAACATCACCATCAACATCACCATCAACATTAACATCATCACCATCATCATCAACATCACCATCAACATCACCATCAACATCACCATCAACATCACCATCAACATCATCATCACCATCATCATCACCATCATCAACATCACCATCATCATCAACATCAACACCATCAACATCACCATCAACATGACCATCAACACCATCAACATCACCATCAACATCACCATCAACACCACCACCATCAGCACCATCAACATCACCATCAATATCAACACCATCATCATCAACATCACCATCATCATCAAAATCATCACCATCATCAACAACACCATCACCATTGTCACTGTCACCACCATCACCACCACCATCATCAACATAGCAGCATCATCACTATCATCACCACCATCACTATCGTCATCACCATCGTCACCACCTTCACCACCATCACTATCATCAACATAGCAGCATCATAATCATCATCACCACCATCATCACCGTCACCACCACGACCATAATTCATCATCAACACAGCAGCAGCAGAATCAGCATCGTTCATGAGATTGTCTGACATCGATGCCTGTGGTTCTGCTCATGGTGATGTTGATGGTGTTGATGGTGATGTTGACGTGGTGATGGTGATGTTGATGATATTCATGGTGATGATGTTGACGGTGATGTTGATGGTGGTCATGTTGTTGATGATGTTGATGATGATGTTGATGATGTTGTTGATGATGTTGATGTTGTTGACGATGTTGATGATGTTGATGTTGTTGATGATGTTGTTGATGATGTTGTTGTTAATGAAGTTGATGATGATGTTGTTGTTGATGATGTTGATGTTGTTGACGATGTTGATGATGTTGATGTTGTTGATGATGTTGATGATGTTGTTGATGATGTTGATGATGATGTTGATGATGATGTTGATGATGTTGTTGATGATGTTGTTGATGTTGTTGATGATGTTGATGATGTTGTTGATGATGTTGTTGATGTTGTTGATGATGTTGTTGATGATGTTGATGTTGTTGTTGATGATGTTGATGATATTCCTGGTGATGATGTTGATGATGATGTTGTTGTTGATGTTGATGATGTTGTTGTTGATGTTGATGATGTTGTTGTTGATGTTGTTGGTGATGTTGTTGATGATGATGTTGTTGATGATGTTCCTGGTGATGATGTTGTTGATGATATTGTTGTTGTTGATGTTGTTGATGATGTTGTTGATGTTGTTGATGTTGTTGATGATGTTGTTGTTGATGTTGATGATGTTGTTGATGTTGATGATGATGATGTTGTTGGTGATGATGTTGTTGATGATGTTGTTGTTGTTGATGTTGTTGGTGATGTTGTTGTTGATGATGTTCCTGGTGATGATGTTGTTGATGATGTTGTTGATGTTGTTGTTGATGTTGTTGATGTTGATGATGATGTTGATGATGATGATGTTCCTGGTGATGATGTTGATGATGTTGTTGTTGATGATGTTGATGATGTTCCTGGTGATGATGTTGATGATGTTGTTGTTGATGATGATGTTGATGATGATGTTGTTGATGATGATGATGATGTTGTTTTCTCACAGCTGGAGGTCCCCGCCCTGAAACCTTTTCAGCGTCTTCCTCCTCATCGCTGGCGACATCATCGACGAGAACTCAGCCACCTCCACCCCCCCGTACAGCCGCACCAGATGGTACAGTCTAACACCACACCAAACACCCCGTTCATAAACACCAGATGGTACAGTCCAACAACACTCCAACACCCCCGTTCATAAACACCAGATGGTACAGTCCAACAACACACCAACACCCCCGTTCATAACACCAGATGGTACAGTCCAACAACACACCAACACCCCTGTTCATAAACACCAGATGGTACAGTCTAACAACACACCAACACCCCCGTTCATGAAACCAGATGGTACAGTCTAACAACACACCAAACACCCCCGTTCATAAACACCAGATGGTACAGTCCAACAACTCAACAACACCCCCGTTCATAAACACCAGATGGGACAGTCCAACAACACACCAACACCCCCGTTCATGAACACCAGATGGTACAGTCCAACAACACACCAAACACCCCCGTTCATAAACACCAGATGGTACAGTCCAACACACTAACACCCCCGTTCATAAACACCAGATGGTACAGTCCAACAACACACCAAACACCCCCGTTCATAAACACCAGATGGTACAGTCCAACAACAAACCAACACAGAGGGTATGGCGGTGGTAACGGTGGTAGTGGTGGTAATAGCGGTGGTAGCGGTGATAGTGGTGGTAGTGGTGGTGGTAGTAGTGGTAGTAGTGGTGGTGGTAGTAGGAGTGGTGGTAGTGGTAGTAGTAGTGGTGGTAGTGGTAGTAGTGGTGGTGTTAGTGTTAATGGTGGGAGTGGTGGTGGTAGTAGTGGTGGTGGTGTTAGTAGTGGTGGTAGTGGTGGTGGTAGTGGTGGTAGTGGTGGTGTTAGTAGTGGTGTTAGTAGTGGTGGTGGTAGTGGTGGTGGTGTTAGTAGTGGTGGTGGTTGTGGTGGTAGTGGTGGTTGTGGTGGTAGTGGTGGTGGTAGTGGTGGTGTTAGTAGTGGTGGTGGTTGTGGTGGTGTTAGTAGTGGTGTTAGTAGTGGTGGTGGTAGTGGTGGTTGTGGTGGTGGTGTTAGTAGTGGTGGTGGTAGTGTTAGTAGTGGTGGTGGTAGTGGTGGCAGTGGTGGTAGTTGTGGTGGTAGTGGTGGTGTTAGTGGTGGTTGTGGTGGTAGTGGTGGTGTTAGAAGTGGTGGTGGTTGTGGTGGTAGTGGTGGTGGTAGTAGTGGTGGTAGTTGTGGTGGTAGTGGTGGTAGTGGTGGTGGTAGTAGTGGTGGTGGTGGTGTTAGTGGTGTTAGTAGTGGTGTTAGTAGTGGTGGTGGTAGTGGTGGTTGTGGTGGTAGTGGTGGTTGTGGTGGTAGTGGTGGTGTTAGTAGTGGTGTTAGTAGTGGTGGTGGTGGTAGTTGTGGTGGTAGTGGTGTTAGTAGTGGTGGTAGTGGTAGTTGTGGTGGTAGTGGTTGTAGTAGTGGTGGTAGTGGTGGTTGTGGTGGTGGTGGTAGTGGTGGTAGTGGTGGTAGTGTCGTCAACCTGTGAGCGGCCTGTCTGGTGTTGGTGAAGCAGAGAATCTTGCGGAAGCGAAGGTGGAGGGCAAAGTGCAGCACGGCGAGAGACTTCAGCTTGAGACTCACGGGGACGTAGTACTCCTGGAAAGACACGGAGACACGGAGACACGGAGACACGGGGACACGGGGACACGGGGACACGGGGACACGGAGACACGGAGACACGGGGACACGGGGACACGGGGACACGGGGACACGGGGACACGGGGACACGGAGACGTAGTACTCCTGGAAAGACACGGAGACACGGGGACACGGGGACACGGGGACACGGGGACACGGGGACACGGGGACACGGAGACGTAGTACTCCTGGAAAGACACGGAGACACGGGGACAGGGAGACACGGGGACACGGGGACACGGGGACACGGGGACACGGGGACACTGAGACACGGGGACACGGGGACACGGGGACACGGGGACACGGAGACGTAGTACTCCTGGAAAGACACGGAGACACGGGGACACGGGGACACGGGGACACGGGGACACGGGGACACTGAGACACGGGGACACGGGGACACGGGGACACGGGGACACGGAGACGTAGTACTCCTGGAAAGACACGGAGACACGGGGACACGGGGACACGGAGACAGGGAGACACGGTGACACGGGGACACGGGGACACGGGGACACGGGGACACTGAGACACGGGGACACGGGGACACGGGGACACGGGGACACGGAGACGTAGTACTCCTGGAAAGACACGGAGACACGGGGACACGGGGACACGGAGACAGGGAGACACGGGGACACGGGGACACGGGGACACGGGGACACGGGGACACTGAGACACGGGGACACGGGGACACGGGGACACGGGGACACGGAGACGTAGTACTCCTGGAAAGACACGGAGACACGGGGACACGGGGACACGGAGACACGGAGACACGGAGACACGGGGACACGGGGACACGGGGACACGGAGACACGGAGACACGGGGACACGGGGACACGGGGACACGGAGACGTAGTACTCCTGGAAAGACACGGAGACACGGAGACACGGGGACACGGGGACACGGGGACACGGAGACGTAGTACTCCTGGAAAGACACGGAGACACGGGGACACGGAGACACGGGGACAGGGGGACAGGGAGACACGGAGACGTAGTACTCCTGGAAAGACACGGAGACACGGGGACACGGGGACACGGGGACAGGGGGACACGGGGACACGGGGACACGGGGACACGGAGACACGGAGACACGGAGACGTAGTACTCCTGGAAAGACACGGAGACACGGGGACACGGGGACAGGGGGACAGGGGGACACGGGGACACGGAGACACGGAGACACGGAGACGTAGTACTCCTGGAAAGACACGGAGACACGGAGACACGGAGACACGGGGACGTAGTACTCCTGGAAAGACACGGAGACACGGGGACACGGGGACACGGGGACACGGGGACACGGAGACACGGGGACACGGAGACACTGAGACAGGGAGACAGGGAGACACGGGGACACGGGGACACGGGGACACGGGGACACGGGGACAGGGGGACACGGAGACACGGAGACAGGGGGACACGGGGACACGGGGACACGGGGACACGGGGACGTAGTACTCCTGGAAAGACACGGAGACACGGGGACACGGAGACACGGGGACACGGGGACACGGAGACAGGGAGACACGGAGACACGGGGACACGGGGACACGGGGACACGGGGACACGGGGACACGGAGACACGGGGACACGGAGACACGGGGACACGGAGACACGGAGACACGGGGACACGGGGACACGGAGACACGGGGACACGGAGACACGGAGACACGGGGACACGGGGACGTAGTACTCCTGGGGAGACACGGAGACACGGGGACACGGAGACACGGAGACACGGGGACAGGGAGACACGGAGACACGGGGACACGGGGACACGGGGACACGGGGACACGGGGACACGGGGACACGGGGACACGGAGACACGGAGACACGGGGACAGGGAGACACTGAGACGTAGTACTCCTGGAAAGACACGGAGACACGGGGACACGGGGACACGGAGACACGGGGACACGGGGACACGGGGACACGGAGACACTGAGACACGGGGACAGGGAGACACTGAGACGTAGTACTCCTGGAAAGACACGGAGACACGGGGACACGGAGACGTAGTACTCCTGGAAAGACACGGAGACACGGGGACACGGAGACACGGAGACACGGAGACACGGGGACACGGGGACACGGAGACACGGGGACGTAGTACTCCTGGAAAGACACGGAGACACGGGGACACGGGGACACGGAGACACGGGGACACGGGGACACGGAGACAGGGAGACACGGAGACACGGGGACACTGAGACACGGAGACGTAGTACTCCTGGAAAGACACGGAGACACGGAGACACGGAGACACGGAGACAGGGGGACACGGGGACACGGGGACACGGGGACACGGGGACACGGAGACACGGGGACACGGGGACACGGGGACACGGAGACGTAGTACTCCTGGAAAGACACGGAGACACGGGGACACGGAGACACGGGGACACGGGGACACGGAGACACGGAGACACGGGGACACGGGGACACGGAGACGTAGTACTCCTGGAAAGACACGGAGACACGGGGACACGGGGACACGGAGACACGGGGACGTAGTACTCCTGGAAAGACACGGAGACACGGGGACACGGGGACACGGGGACACGGGGACACGGAGACACGGAGACACGGAGACACGGAGACGTAGTACTCCTGGAAAGACACGGAGACACGGGGACACGGGGACACGGAGACACGGGGACGTAGTACTCCTGGAAAGACACGGAGACACGGGGACACGGGGACACGGGGACACGGAGACACGGAGACACGGAGACACGGAGACACGGAGACGTAGTACTCCTGGAAAGACACGGAGACACGGGGACACGGGGACACGGGGACACGGAGACACGGAGACGTAGTACTCCTGGAAAGACACGGAGACACGGGGACACGGAGACACGGGGACACGGGGACAGGGAGACACGGGGACACGGGGACACGGGGACACGGAGACACGGGGACAGGGAGACACGGAGACGTAGTACTCCTGGGGAGACACGGAGACACTGAGACACGGAGACACGGAGACACGGAGACAGGGAGACACTGAGACGTAGTACTCCTGGAAAGACACGGAGACACGGGGACACGGAGACGTAGTACTCCTGGAAAGACACGGAGACACGGGGACACGGAGACACGGGGACACGGGGACACTGTACTCCTGAAAAGACACGGAGACACGGGGACACGGGGACACGGGGACACGGAGACACGGAGACACTGTACTCCTGGGGAGACACGGAGACACGGGGACACGGGGACACGGAGACACGGGGACACGGGGACACTGAGACGTAGTACTCCTGGAAAGACACGGAGACACGGGGACACGGGGACACGGAGACACGGGGACACGGGGACACGGGGACACTGTACTCCTGGAAAGACACGGAGACACGGGGACACGGGGACACGGGGACAGGGAGACACGGAGACGTAGTACTCCTGGAAAGACACGGAGACACGGGGACACGGGGACACGGGGACACGGGGACACTGTACTCCTGGAAAGACACGGAGACACGGGGACACGGGGACACGGGGACACGGGGACACTGTACTCCTGGAAAGACACGGAGACACGGGGACACGGAGACACGGAGACACGGGGACACGGGGACGTAGTACTCCTGGAAAGACACGGAGACACGGGGACACGGGGACACGGAGACACGGGGACAGGGAGACACGGAGACGTAGTACTCCTGGAAAGACACGGAGACACGGGGACACGGGGACACGGGGACAGGGAGACACGGAGACGTAGTACTCCTGGAAAGACACGGAGACACGGGGACACGGGGACACGGAGACACGGGGACGTAGTACTCCTGGAAAGACACGGAGACACGGGGACACGGGGACACGGAGACACGGAGACACGGAGACGTAGTACTCCTGGGGAGACACGGGGACACGGGGACACGGGGACACGGGGACACGGAGACACGGAGACAGGGAGACACTGTACTCCTGGGGAGACACGGGGACACGGGGACACGGAGACACGGGGACACGGAGACAGGGAGACACGGAGACGTAGTACTCCTGGGGAGACACGGAGACACGGGGGCACGGGGACACGGAGACACGGAGACACGGAGACACGGGGACACGGAGACACGGGGACACGGGGACACGGGGACACGGAGACAGAGAGACACTGAGACACTGGGACGTAGTACTCCTGGGGAGACACGGGGACACTGGGACAGGGAGACAGTGAGACACTGGGATAGTGAGACACTGAGACACTAGGACACTGAGACACTGGGACACTGAGACTCTGAGACAGGGAGACACTGAGACACGGAGACACTGGGACACTGAGACAGGGAGACAGGGAGACAGAGAGACACGGAGACACTGGGACACTGAGACACTGAGACACTGGGACACTGAGACACTGGGACACTGGGACACTGGGACACTGGGACACTGAGACACTGAGACACTGGGACACTGAGACACTGGGACACTGAGACACTGGGACACTGGGACAGTGAGACACTGGGACACTGGGACACTGGGACAGTGAGACACTGGGACACTGGGACACTGGGACACTGGGACACTGAGACACTGGGACACTGGGACAGTGAGACACTGGGACACTGGGACACTGAGACACTGGGACACTGAGACACTGGGACACTGAGACACTGGGACACTGGGACACTGAGACACTGGGACACTGAGACACTGGGACACTGAGACACTGGGACACTGGGACAGTGAGACACTGGGACACTGGGACACTGGGACACTGAGACACTGAGACACTGAGACACTGAGACACTGAGACACTGGGACACTGGGACACTGGGACACTGAGACACTGAGACACTGGGACACTGAGACACTGGGACACTGGGACACTGAGACAGGGAGACACTGGGACACTGGGACACTGAGACACTGAGACACTGGGACACTGGGACACTGAGACAGGGAGACACTGGGACACTGGGACACTGAGACACTGAGACACTGGGACACTGGGACACTGAGACAGGGAGACACTGGGACACTGGGACAGGGAGACAGTGAGACACTGGGACACTGAGACACTGAGACAGAGAGACACGGGGACACTGAGACAGTGAGACACTGGGACACTGAGACAGGGAGACACTGAGACACTGAGACACTGGGATAGTGAGACACTGAGACACTGGGATAGTGAGACACTGAGACACTAGGACACTGAGACACTGGGACACTGAGACTCTGAGACAGGGAGACACTGAGACACGGAGACACTGGGACACTGAGACAGGGAGACAGGGAGACAGAGAGACACGGAGACACGGAGACACTGGGACACTGAGACAGGGAGACAGGGAGACAGAGAGACACGGAGACACTGGGACACTGAGACACTGAGACACTGGGACACTGAGACACTGAGACACTGGGACACTGGGACACTGGGACACTGGGACACTGAGACACTGAGACACTGGGACACTGAGACACTGGGACACTGAGACACTGGGACACTGGGACAGTGAGACACTGGGACACTGGGACACTGGGACACTGAGACACTGAGACACTGAGACACTGAGACACTGAGACACTGGGACACTGGGACACTGGGACACTGAGACACTGAGACACTGGGACACTGAGACACTGGGACACTGGGACACTGAGACACGGAGACACTGGGACACTGGGACACTGAGACACTGAGACACTGGGACACTGGGACACTGAGACAGGGAGACACTGGGACACTGGGACACTGAGACACTGAGACACTGGGACACTGGGACACTGAGACAGGGAGACACTGGGACACTGGGACAGGGAGACAGTGAGACACTGGGACACTGAGACACTGAGACAGAGAGACACGGGGACACTGAGACAGTGAGACACTGGGACACTGAGACAGGGAGACACTGAGACACTGAGACACTGGGATAGTGAGACACTGAGACACTGGGATAGTGAGACACTGAGACACTAGGACACTGAGACACTGGGACACTGAGACTCTGAGACAGGGAGACACTGAGACACGGAGACACTGGGACACTGAGACAGGGAGACAGGGAGACAGAGAGACACGGAGACACTGGGACACTGAGACACTGAGACACTGGGACACTGAGACACTGAGACACTGGGACACTGGGACACTGGGACACTGGGACACTGAGACACTGAGACACTGGGACACTGAGACACTGAGACACTGAGACACTGGGACACTGAGACACTGGGACACTGGGACACTGAGACACTGAGACACTGGGACACTGAGACACTGGGACACTGAGACACTGGGACACTGGGACAGTGAGACACTGGGACACTGGGACACTGGGACACTGAGACACTGAGACACTGAGACACTGAGACACTGAGACACTGGGACACTGGGACACTGGGACACTGAGACACTGAGACACTGGGACACTGAGACACTGGGACACTGGGACACTGAGACACTGAGACACTGGGACACTGGGACACTGAGACACTGAGACACTGGGACACTGGGACACTGAGACACTGGGACACTGGGACACTGAGACACTGAGACACTGGGACACTGGGACACTGAGACAGGGAGACACTGGGACACTGGGACACTGAGACACTGAGACACTGGGACACTGGGACACTGAGACAGGGAGACACTGGGACACTGGGACACTGTACTCCTGGGGAGACACTGAGACACTGAGATACGGAGACACTGAGACAGGGAGACAGGGAGACACTGAGACACTGAGACAGGGAGACAGGGAGACAGGGAGACACTGGGACACTGGGACACTGAGACAGAGAGACACTGAGACACTGAGACACTGAGACACTGAGACACTGGGACACTGGGACACTGGGACACTGAGACACTGAGACACTGGGACACTGAGACACTGGGACACTGGGACACTGAGACAGGGAGACACTGGGACACTGGGACACTGAGACACTGAGACACTGGGACACTGGGACACTGAGACAGGGAGACACTGGGACACTGGGACACTGAGACACTGAGACACTGGGACACTGGGACACTGAGACACTGGGACACTGGGACACTGTACTCCTGGGGAGACACTGAGACACTGAGATACGGAGACACTGAGACAGGGAGACAGGGAGACACTGAGACACTGAGACAGGGAGACAGGGAGACAGGGAGACACTGGGACACTGGGACACTGAGACAGAGAGACACTGAGACACTGAGACACTGAGACAGGGAGACACTGAGACACTGAGACACGGGGACACTGAGACACGGGGACAGAGACACGGAGACACTGAGACACGGAGACACTGAGACAGGGAGACACTGGGACACTGAGACAGGGAGACAGAGAGACACTGAGACACTGGGACACTGGGACAGGGAGACAGTGAGACACTGGGACACTGAGACAGAGAGACACTGAGACAGGGAGTCAGGAAGACAGAGAGACAGACAGACAGAGAGACAGACAGAGAGACAGAGAGACACTGAGACACTGAGACAGAGAGACCCTGAGACAGGGAGACACTGGGACACGGAGACAGGGAGACACTGAGACAGAGAGACAGAGAGACACTGAGACAGAGAGACACTGAGACAGAGAGACACTGAGACAGACAGACAGAGAGACACTGAGACAGCGGGACACTGAGATAGCGAGACACTGAGATAGCGAGACACTGAGACAGAGAGACACGGAGACAGAGAGACACGAAGACAGACAGACAGACAGACAGAGAGACACTGAGACACTGAGACACGGAGACAGGGAGACACTGAGACAGACAGACAGAGAGACAGAGAGACACTGAGACACTGAGACACTGAGACACGGAGACAGGGAGACACTGAGACAGACAGACAGACAGACACTGAGACACTGAGACAGAGAGACAGAGAGACAGAGAGACAGACAGAGAGACAGAGAGACACTGAGACAGAGAGACAGAGAGACAGACAGAGAGACAGAGAGACACTGTACTCCCTTACCCCCCCACCACCACCTCCCACCCCCCCCCCCCCCACTCACGGTGAGCGACTCTGGGAAGCTGAAGAGGCCCTCCCCCCCGCACCGCTCCCCCCCCTGCAGGACGCCCCCCCCCCACACCTCGCCCCCCCCGGGGAGTTTGTGGGGGGCCGTCCCCCCCCTCCCCCTCCCCCTCCCCCCCGCTGATGGCGGTGAAGAGGAGGGGCTGGAAGAGGCCCAGGGCCTGCCGGGCCTCGGGGCTGTGGGTGAGGGTGGCAGAGCGCAACAGCTTCTGTAGGGGGGCTCGGGGGGGCCACGATCTGGGGGGGGGGGGGGGTGAGAGAGAGGGGTGGGTGGGGGGGGAGGGGTTAGAGAGGGGTGGGTGGGGTGAGGGGTTAGAGTGGGGTGGGTGGGGGGAGGGGTGGGTAGGGGGGGAGGGGTAAAAGAGGGGTGGGTGGGGGGGGGAGGGGTAAGAGAGGGGTGGGTGGGGGGAGGGGTTAGAGAGGGGTGGGTGGGGGGAGGGGTTAGAGTGGGGTGGGTGGGGGGAGGGGTGGGTAGGGGGGGAGGGGTAAAAGAGGGGTGGGTGGGGGGGGAGGGGTAAGAGAGGGGTGGGTGGGGGGGGAGGGGTTAGAGAGGGGTGGGTGGGGGGGGAGGGGTTAGAGAGGGGTGGGTGGGGGGGGTTAGAGAGGGGTGGGTGGGGGGGGAGGGGTTAGAGAGGGGTGGGTGGGGGGAGGGGTAAGAGAGGGGTGGGTGGGGGGGAGGAGTGAGAGTGGGGTGGGTGGGGGGAGGGGTTAGAGAGGGGTGGGTGGGGGGGGGGTGGGGGGTAAGAGAGGGGTGGGTGGGGGGGGGTGAGAGAGGGGTGGGTGGGGGTGAGAGAGGGGTGGGTGGGGGGGGGGTGAGAGAGGGGTGGGGGAGATGTGAGGAGGATATGCGGGGGAGAGACACGGGGGAGACACAGTGAGACACAGTGAGAGACACGGGGGAGACACAGTGAGACACAGTGAGAGACACGGGGGAGACAGTGAGACACAGTGAGAGACACGGGGGAGACAGTGAGACACAGTGAGAGACACGGGGGAGACACATTGAGAGACACGGTGAGAGACACGGGGGAGACACAGTGAGAGACACGGTGAGAGACACGGGGGAGACACAGTGAGACACAGTGAGAGACACGGTGAGAGACACGGGGGAGACACAGTGAGACACAGTGAGAGACACGGGGGAGACACAGTGAGACACAGTGAGAGACACGGGGGAGACACAGGGAGAGACACGGGGGAGACACAGTGAGAGACACGGGGGAGACACAGTGAGACACAGTGAGAGACACGGGGGAGACAGTGAGACACAGTGAGAGACACGGGGGAGACACAGTGAGACACAGTGAGAGACACGGGGGAGACACAGTGAGACACAGTGAGGGACACGGGGGAGACACAGTGAGACACAGTGAGAGACACGGGGGAGACACAGTGAGACACAGTGAGAGACACGGGGGAGACAGTGAGACACAGTGAGAGACACAGTGAGAGACACGGGGGAGACAGTGAGACACAGTGAGAGACACGGGGGAGACACAGTGAGACACAGTGAGAGACACGGGGGAGACACAGTGAGACACAGTGAGAGACACGGGGGAGACAGTGAGACACAGTGAGAGACACGGGGGAGACACAGTGAGAGACACGGTGAGAGACACGGGGGAGACACAGTGAGACACAGTGAGAGACACGGGGGAGACACAGTGAGAGACACGGTGAGAGACACGGGGGAGACACAGTGAGACACAGTGAGGGACACGGGGGAGACACAGTGAGACACAGTGAGAGACACGGGGGAGACACAGTGAGAGACACGGTGAGAGACACGGGGGAGACACAGTGAGACACAGTGAGAGACACGGGGGAGACACAGTGAGACACAGTGAGAGACACGGGGGAGACACAGTGAGAGACACGGGGGAGACACAGTGAGACACAGTGAGAGACACGGGGGAGACACGGGGGAGACACAGTGAGACACAGTGAGAGACACGGGGGAGACACAGTGAGACACAGTGAGGGACATGGGGGAGACAGTGAGACACAGTGAGAGACACGGGGGAGACACAGTGAGACACAGTGAGAGACACGGGGGAGACAGTGAGACACAGTGAGAGACACGGGGGAGACAGTGAGACACAGTGAGAGACACGGGGGAGACACATTGAGAGACACGGTGAGAGACACGGGGGAGACACAGTGAGACACAGTGAGAGACACGGGGGAGACACAGTGAGAGACACGGTGAGAGACACGGGGGAGACACAGTGAGACACAGTGAGGGACACGGGGGAGACACAGTGAGGACACAGTGAGAGACACGGGGGAGACACAGTGAGAGACACGGTGAGAGACACGGGGGAGACACAGTGAGACACAGTGAGAGACACGGGGGAGACACAGTGAGACACAGTGAGAGACACGGGGGAGACACAGTGAGAGACACGGGGGAGACACAGTGAGACACAGTGAGAGACACGGGGGAGACACGGGGGAGACACAGTGAGACACAGTGAGAGACACGGGGGAGACACGGGGGAGACACAGTGAGACACAGTGAGAGACACGGGGGAGACACAGTGAGACACAGTGAGAGACACGGGGGAGACAAAGTGAGACACAGTGAGAGACACGGGGGAGACAGTGAGAGACACAGGGTAGACAAGGGGAGAGACAGTGACACACGGAGACACAGGGGGAGACACGGGGGAGACAGTGACACACGGAGACACGGGGGGAGACAGTGACACACGGAGACACGGGGGGAGACAGTGACACACGGAGACACGGGGGAGACAGTGACACACGGAGACACAGGGGGAGACACGGGGGAGACAGTGACACACGGAGAGAGTGACACACGGAGACATGGGGGAGACAGTGACACACGGAGACACGGGGGGAGACACGGGGGAGACAGTGACACACGGAGAGAGTGACACACGGAGACATGGGGGAGACAGTGACACACGGAGACACGGGGGGGAGACACGGGGGAGACAGTGACACAAGGAGACACGGGGGGAGACAGTGACACACGGAGACATGGGGGGAGACACGGGGGAGACAGTGACACACGGAGACACGGGGGGAGACAGTGACACACGGAGACACGGGGGGAGCCAGTGACACACGGAGACACGGGGGGAGACAGTGACACACGGAGACACGGGGGGAGACACGGGGGAGACAGTGACACACGGAGACACGGGGGGAGACAGTGACACACGAAGACACGGGGGAGACAAGGGGGGAGACACGGGGAGAGACAGTGACACACGGAGACACGGGGGGAGACAGTGACACACGGAGACACGGGGGAGACAGTGACACACGGAGACACGGGGGGAGACACGGGGGAGACAGTGACACACGGAGAGAGTGACACACGGAGACATGGGGGAGACAGTGACACACGGAGACACGGGGGGAGACACGGGGGGAGACAGTGACACACTGAGACACGGGGGGAGACACGGGGGAGACAGTGACACACGGAGACACGGGGAGAGACAGTGACACACGGAGACACGGGGGAGACACGGGGGAGACAGTGACACACTGAGACACGGGGGGAGACACGGGGGAGACAGTGACACACGGAGACACGGGGAGAGACAGTGACACACGGAGACACGGGGGAGACACGGGGGAGACAGTGACACACGGAGACACGGGGAGAGACAGTGACACACGGAGACACAGGGGGAGACACGGGGGAGACACGGGGAGAGACAGTGACACACGGAGACACGGGGGGAGACAGTGACACACGGAGACACGGGGGAGACAGTGACACACGGAGACACGGGGGAGACAGTGACACACGGAGACACGGGGGAGACAAGGGGGGAGACACGGGGAGAGACAGTGACACACGGAGACACGGGGGAGACAGTGACACACGGAGACACGGGGGAGACAGTGACACACGGAGACACGGGGGGAGACACGGGGGCGACAAGGGGAGAGACAGTGACACACGGAGACACGGGGGAGACACGGGGAGAGACAGTGACACACGGAGACACGGGAGAGACAGAGACACACGGAGACACGGGGGAGACAAGGGGGGAGACACGGGGAGAGACAGTGACACACGGAGACACGGGGGGAGACAGTGACACACGGAGACACGGGGGAGACAGTGACACACGGAGACACGGGGGAGACAGTGACACACGGAGACACGGGGGGAGACAGTGACACAAGGAGACACGGGGGGAGACACGGGGGGAGACAGTGACACACGGAGACACGGGGGGAGCCACTGACACACGGAGACATGGGGGAGACAGTGACACACGGAGACACGGGGGGAGACACGGGGGGAGACAGTGACACACGGAGACACGAGGGAGACAGTGACACACGGAGACACGGGGGAGACACGGGGGGAGACACGGGGGAGACACGGGGGGAGACACGGGGGAGACACGGGGGGAGACAGTGACACACGGAGACACGGGGGGGGATCCCAGCCACCTCCCCCCCTCCCCGCTCACCCCCCGGGCTGAGTGGTGACCCCAGGTGCCGCCCTGCCGCACAGCATGCTGGGAGGAGCCGCCCCCATGGCGGCCCGCGTGACCTGGCTCAGCCAATCCTGGCTCAGGGAGTCCATCATGCGGTCTGCCTCGTCCACCACCTGGGCAGAGACGTGGGGGGGGGTGGTCATGTGACGGGGGTAGTGCGGTTGTGTGGTGGTAGTGTGGTCGTAGTAGTAGTAGCGTAGTAGTAGTGTAGTAGTAGTGTAGTAGTAGTGTAGTAGTAGTGTAGTAGTAGTGTAGTAGTAGTGGTAGTAGTAGTGTAGTAGTAGTGTAGTAGTAGTGGTAGTAGTAGTGTAGTAGTAGTGGTAGTAGTAGTGTAGTAGTAGTGGTAGTAGTAGTGTAGTAGTAGTGTAGTAGTAGTGGTAGTAGTAGTGTAGTAGTAGTGTAGCAGTAGTAGTGTAGTAGTAGTGTAGTAGTAGTGTAGCAGTAGTGTAGTAGTAGTTTATCAGTAGTGTAGTAGTAGTGTGGTCGTAGTAGTAGCGTAGTAGTGTAGTAGTAGTGTAGCAGTAGTAGTGTAGTAGTAGTGTAGTGGTAGTAGTGTAGTAGTAGTGTAGTAGTAGTGTAGTAGTAGTGTAGTAGTAGTGTGGTCGTAGTAGTAGTGTGGTCGTAGTAGTAGTAGAGTAGTAGTGTAGTAGTAGTAGTGTAGTAGTAGTGTAGTAGTAGTAGTGTAGTAGTGTAGTAGTAGTAGTAGTGTAGTAGTAGTGGTAGTAGTAGTAGTAGTGTAGTAGTAGTGTAGTAGTAGTGTAGTAGTAGTGTGGTCGTAGTAGTAGTGTGGTCGTAGTAGTAGTAGAGTAGTAGTAGTGTAGTAGTAGTAGTGTAGTAGTAGTGTAATAGTGTAGTAGTAGTGTAGTAGTAGTAGTAGTGTAGTAGTAGTGGTAGTAGTAGTGTAGTAGTAGTGGTAGTAGTGTAGTAGTAGTGTGGTCGTAGTAGTAGTGTGGTCGTAGTAGTAGTAGAGTAGTAGTGTAGTAGTAGTAGTGTAGTAGTGTAGTAGTAGTAGTGTAGTAGTAGTGTAATAGTGTAGTAGTAGTGTAGTAGTAGTAGTAGTGTAGTAGTAGTGTAGTAGTAGTAGTGTAGTAGTAGTGTAGTAGTAGTGTAGTAGTAGTAGTGTGGTCGTAGTAGTAGTAGAGTAGTAGTGTAGTAGTAGTAGTGTAGTAGTAGTGTAATAGTGTAGTAGTAGTGTAGTAGTAGTGTAGTAGTAGTGGTAGTAGTAGTGTAGTAGTAGTGGTAGTAGTGTAGTAGTAGTGTGGTCGTAGTAGTAGTGTGGTCGTAGTAGTAGTAGAGTAGTAGTGTAGTAGTAGTAGTGTAGTAGTAGTGTAGTAGTAGTAGTGTAGTAGTAGTGTAATAGTGTAGTAGTAGTGTAATAGTGTAGTAGTAGTGTAGTAGTAGTAGTAGTGTAGTAGTAGTGTAGTAGTAGTGTAGTAGTAGTGTAGTAGTAGTGTGGTCGTAGTAGTAGTGTGGTCGTAGTAGTAGTAGAGTAGTAGTGTAGTAGTAGTAGTGTAGTAGTAGTGTAGTAGTAGTAGTGTAGTAGTAGTGTAATAGTGTAGTAGTAGTGTAGTAGTAGTGTAATAGTGTAGTAGTAGTGTAGTAGTAGTGTAGTAGTAGTAGTGTAGTAGTAGTAGTGTAGTAGTGTAGTAGTAGTAGTGTAGTAGTAGTAGTGTAGTAGTAGTAGTGTAGTAGTAGTAGTGTAGTAGTAGTAGTAGCGTAGTAGTAGTAGCGTAGTAGTAGCGTAGTAGTAGTGTAGTAGTAGTAGTGTAGTAGTAGTGTAGTAGTAGTAGTGTAGTAGTAGTAGTGTAGTAGTAGTAGTGTAGTAGTAGTGTAGTAGTGTAGTAGTAGTGGTAGTAGTAGTGTAGTAGTAGTGGTAGTAGTAGTGTAGTAGTAGTAGTGTAATAGTGTAGCAGTAGTTTATCAGTAGTGTAATAGTGTAGTAGTAGTGTAATAGTGTAGTAGTAGTGGTAGCGTAGCAGTAGTGGTAGTAGTGTAGTAGTAGTGGTAGTAGTAGTGGTAGTAGTGTAGTAGTAGTAGTGTAATAGTGTAGTAGTAGTGGTAGTAGTAGTGTAGCAGTAGTGGTAGCAGTAGTGTAGTAGTAGTAGTTTATCAGTAGTGTAGTAGTAGTGTAATAGTGTAGTAGTAGTGTAATAGTGTAGTAGTATATCAGTAGTGTAGTAGTAGTGTAATAGTGTAGTAGTAGTATAGTAGTAGTGTAGTAGTAGTGTAGTAGTAGTGTAGCAGTAGTGGTAGTAGTGTAGTAGTAATGGTCGTAGTAGTGTAGTAGTAGTTTATCAGTAGTGTAGTAGTAGTGGTAGTAGTGTAGTAGTAGTGGTAGTAGTAGTGTAGTAGTGTAATAGTGTAGTAGTAGTGTAATAGTGTGGTAGTAGTAGTGTAGTAATGTAGTAGTAGTGGTAGTAGTAGTGTAGTAGGAGTGGTAGTAGTAATGGGAGTAGTAGTGTAATAGTAGTGGTAGTAGTAGTGTAATAGTGTAGTAGTAGTGGTAGTGTAGTAGTAGTAGTGTAATAGTGTAGTAGTAGTAGTGTAATAGTAGTAGTGTAATAGTGTAGTAGTAGTGGTAGTAGTAGTGTAGTAGTAGTGGCAGTAGTAGTGTAGTAGTAGTTTATCAGTAGTGTAGTAGTAGTGGTAGTAGTAGTGTAGTAGTAGTAGTTTATCAGTAGTGTAGTAGTGTAATAGTGTAGTAGTAGTGCAGTAGTAGTGTAATAGTGTAGTAGTAGTGTAATAGTGTAGTAGTGTATAATAGTTTAGTAGTAGTGGTAGTAGTAGTGTAGTAGTAGTTTATCAGTAGTTTAGTAGTAGTGGTAGTATATCAGTAGTGTAGTAGAAGTGTAATAGTGTAGTAGTAGTAGTATAATAGTTTAGTAGTAGTGGTAGTAGTAGTGTAGTAGTAGTGGTAGTAGTAGTGTAATAGTGTAGTAGTAGTAGTGGTAGTAGTAGTGTAGTAGTAGTTTATCAGTAGTGTAGTAGTAGTGTAATAGTGTAGTAGTAGTGCAGTAGTAGTGTAATGGTGTAGTAGTAGTGTAATAGTGTAGTAGTGTATAATAGTTTAGTAGTAGTGGTAGTAGTAGTGTAGTAGTAGTTTATCAGTAGTTTAGTAGTAGTGCAGTAGTAGTGTAATAGTGTAGTAGTAGTGTAATAGTGTAGTAGTAGTGTAGTAGTGGTAGTAGTAGTGTAGTAAAGTAGTATTAGTGGTAGTAATAGTGTAATAGTGTAGTAGTAGTGGTAGTTGTAGTGTAGTGGTAATGTAATAGTGTAGTAGTAGTGGTAGTAGCAGTGTAGTAGTAGTAGTAGTGTAGTAGTAGTTTATCAGTAGTGTAGTAGTAGTGTAGTACCATAGTAGTAGTGTAGTAGTAGTTCATCAGTAGTGTAGTAGTAGTGTAATAGTGTAGAAGTAGTGCAGTAGTAGTGTAATAGTGTAGTAGTAGTAGTGTAATAGTGTAGTAGTAGTAGTGTAGTAGTAGTGTACTAGTGGTAGTAGTAGTGTAGTAAAGTAGTATTAGTGGTAGTAATAGTGTAATAGTGTAGTAGTAGTGGTAGTAGCAGTGTAGTAGTAGTAGTGTAGTAGTTTATCAGTAGTGTAGTAGTAGTGTAGTACCATAGTAGTAGTGTAGTACTATAGTAGTAGTGTAGTACTATAGTAGTAGTATAGTACTATAGTAGTAGTGTAGTACTATAGTAGTAGTGTAGCACTATAGTAGTAGTATAATACTATAGTAGTGTAGTACTATAGTAGTAGTGTAGTACTATAGTAGTAGTATAGTACTATAGTAGTGTAGTACTATAGTAGTAGTGTAGTACTATAGTAGTACTATAGTAGTAGTGTAGTACTATAGTAGTAGTGTAGTACTATAGTAGTAGTGTAGTACTATAGTAATAGTATAGTACTATAGTAGTGGTGTTGTTACCAGAAAACGCAAGTGTGCGAGTGAGACTCCGGGTGTCCGTGCCAGGTGGTGTAGTACTATAGTAGTAGTGTAGTACTATAGTACTACAGTACTACTATAGTAGTACTGTAGTAGTAGTGTAGTACTATAGTAGTACTATAGTACTACTGTAGTACTACTAGTAGTACTATAGTAGTAGTATAGTACTATAGTAGTGGTGTTGTTACCAGAAAACGCAGGTGTGCGAGTGAGACTCCGGGTGTCCGTGCCAGGTGGTGTAGTACTATAGTAGTAGTGTAGTACTATAGTACTACTATAGTAGTACTATAGTAGTAGTATAGTACTATAGTAGTGGTGTTGTTACCAGAAAACGCAAGTGTGCGAGTGAGACTCCGGGTGTCCGTGCCAGGTGGTGTAGTACTATAGTAGTAGTGTAGTAATATAGTAGTAGTGTAGTACTATAGTAGTACTATAGTAATAGTATAGTACTATAGTAGTGGTGTTGTTACCAGAAAACGCAGGTGTGCGAGTGAGACTCCGGGTGTCCGTGCCAGGTGGTGTAGTACTATAGTAGTAGTGTAGTACTATAGTAGTAGTATAGTACTATAGTAGTAGTATAGTACTATAGTAGTGGTGTTGTTACCAGAAAACGCAGGTGTGCGAGTGAGACTCCGGGTTTCCGTGCCAGGTGGTTGTAGTACTATAGTAGTAGTGTAGTACTATAGTAGTAGTATAGTACTATAGTATAGTACTATAGTAGTGGTGTTGTTACCAGAAAACGCAGGTGTGCGAGTGAGACTCCGGGTGTCCCGTGCCAGGTGGTATAGTACTATAGTGTAGGTGTAGTACTATAGGTAGTTATAGTACTATAGTGTAGGTATAGTACTATAGTAGTGGTGTTGTTACCAGAAAACGCAGGTGTGCGAGTGAGACTCGGGTGTCCGTGCCAGGTGGTGTAGTACTATAGTAGTAGTATAGTACTATAGTAGTGGTGTTGTTACCAGAAAACGCAGGTGTGCGAGTGAGACTCCGGGTGTCCGTGCCAGGTGGTGTAGTACTATAGTAGTAGTATAGTACTATAGTAGTGGTGTTGTTACCAGAAAACGCAGGTGTGCGAGTGAGACTCCGGGTGTCCGTGCCAGGTGGTGTAGTACTATAGTAATAGTATAGTACTATAGTAGTGGTGTTGTTACCAGAAAACGCAGGTG